CGGTATGGTGTACTCTCACCACATATTAAAACTATTTCTATTCTTTCCTGAAGGGACAACATTATTTCAGCAATAACTGTTAAAAATGTGACAAGTAAATCAACAACTTAACACCACCATAGCATGCATTTTGTTTGTCAAGACCTACTGAAAAATTTTATTCAACGTGATTAAGCATCACGATTATGAAAGAGTTTGTTTTTTTGGTTCAGATATTAGTTTTGTTCACGAAGATTTGGGATGAAAATATTTCAAAAATAAGGAAAACCTATGAAATATAAATCATTAGCAAAAAAAAGTTAACTAATAACAAATTTTTTTTTATATTTGTGTACGATTGAGACTTCTCTTTTATGTCATTATCTAGGTAAAAATAATATGATTGATCGGTAAATAATAATGAACGAACGATAAATAATACTCACTGAAACGGATTCATCCTTAGTACTTTTCCATTTTTTAAATAATGTGTCGTGGCTTTTATATATTTTTCTTTCACTTTATCGATGATGTAATGTGGGAGGATGTTCTGCATAAGATTCTCCTGAAAACAATTGAGCAAAATTTTACGAGTAGTAATTCCAACAGAATTTTTGGAATAACATATACGTATTACATAAGAAAACATTAATTAAGATGGGATTCAGAAATTCCAACTTAATTTTGTCTTCATTTCCCCTTCAACTAATTAAATCAAAGAAAACTGGGCCATAGTGAATAGTCTAAGAAATGAATCAAATTCAATTCCAGAACACGTCAATATAGATCCGAAAATACTCAATAATTTTTATTGTACAGTTGCTCAAAAACTAACTTCATCCCTTGTTCCTACTTTAAATCCTATGAAATATTCAAATAATGTAAATATGCCCAACAACTTTCACTTTGAAGACATAAATTTATTAGAGCTGAAAGAAATCTTGCAAGAAAATAAGAACAAAAATGCAACAGGCATTGATGAAATTATATCAATTTTAATTTTTATATGAGAGGTTTCATATGATATCAACTAGTGAATTCATCAGACCCGGTACATTAGTCTTTTATTCAGCTGTTCGGATTGACTTGGTATGTATATTATTAGGAAATATTGGTTTTTGTGAAAGAAAGGTTCGAGGTGTACTGAGTTGAATCTCGAAACGATGAGCGACTACAGTCCATCGCATATTTCTCTTGGTGGAATCAAATCTGTAGAACAGAGACAAATTCCCAACCTTTTTTCGATGTTCCAGGCTATCAAGATTGTAAGGGATGTTCGCGTCTCGAATCAGGCGGATGGCTCGTTTTTGAATGGAATTCAGTAGCTTTTAGGTATGGTTAGGGGCAAAGTTCCATACATGAGAACAATACTCCAAAGAAGGTCTGAGTTGAGCTTTATGTAGCACAAAAGGATATTCAGGTAACTACACACAATGGTTTAAAAACATGGTTTCGAAAGCCAAACATAAAATGAACTTACCACTTGTTGTTTTTCATGCTTGAGTTGATGAGTAGACATTATGTAATCTCGCCTATCCAAAAAACTGTGCCTGACCACAATTTCGTTCATGTTCCTGTAATATATCCCCAATACATTTATGAATGATAGGAAAATGATATCTGACATCAACTGAAATAACAATAATAATATTCAAAATTATATCAAAAATATATCGAAATCAATATAAGGGGATCATCTAATGAATTTTTTATTCGATTGTGTTACAGATATGGAAAAGAATTTGAATAAACCACAATTCTTATAAACGGTTCACATATTTCCAATAAAAAAGAAAAAAACATGAATAAACGTGAAGATATCGAAAATGTGAATTCTATCTATACATATATCATCTTCAAGCAATAACTTCGAAACCACTATGTGATTTCTGTTAATGAGGTTGCAATCAATTTTGAGAATGCCAGGAACTAAGAAAAAACTTTTAGGTGTTACGTCAAGCTTTCGGAAATGTTTATTTCCTTCTTCAGGTATGAGTCGGTGTGTCCATCTATCGTATTGACCATTGTCCCATTCCTGTTGCCTGCTATTTATCTAATTTTCCTTGACGATTCTTTTGGAAATGCCTGCATACCGCTCTTTCTCCTCGATGATTTGGAGCTCTATTGGTGGAATTCCAGCAATAACACCTGCGTCTTCTGCAGATATAGTTCTATTTGTATCAAATGTTTCAATTGTTAGTCAATTTTGTATGAGTTTTTGGACTAGTTTTTTGTTTTGAGTTACTGTATGACATAATAGGCAACTGTACAAAATCAGAGAGTGGGCCAATCTAGACAAAATATGCCTCTAACAAGGTTTAGGACCCCCCAACATTGGGCGTCAGATTGGCTAACACAGAAACTGTTCTCTCTGCCTTGGGGATATTTTGGGATATGTGTTCAGCAAAGGTAAACTTTTTGTCAAGCCATACCTTAGATACTTATCAGCTTTGTTCAGTATTATCTCAGCTCAATAGTAATTGGTCTCAGCTTTCTTCTTTTGGAAAGCAATATTAATACGTACTGAACTACGGAGTCCAATTTCCATCTAATCTGCTACCAGTAACAGTGTTGATTGGGTAGTCCTCCGGTAGGCAAACCATTATTTTAACACCTCGATACGTGTTTTGATGACCAAGTGATCAGTTTGATCTTTCTCTGGAAGATAATCACTTAGGGATCGACATACATGAATGAAGTGTTATTTGAGTTCCGTAGAGCCACTGCTTCAATAATTTCTGGCGGGATATTTGCTGGCTCAGAGGCCTTGTTGGTTTTCGATTTAATGGAGGTATTCACTAGTTTGTTCTGTGTGGAATTTAGTTCAGGAGAAAATCTCAGCATTCCCTTCATCACTATTCTGTACATATCACCCCAAATGTCTTTATCTAATTTGAGAGGGTTCAATATATTTTCTGTATCAAGATGAAGTAGTAGAAGGCCAATAACTTTCTTTTCCAAAAATTTGTCACTTCCAAAAATATAACCCTCTCAAATTGAACAAGATTCTTTTTGTCTGGGATTCAATCAAATAGGTGAATGAATGCCATTACGATGTCATCGATGCCATAAGTAGATCAACCTTATTTCGTGACATAAAAATCGCGGGTTGGTTGTCCTTGTTCTCCACTTGTTCTTTCACTACCTGGACTACTGTGCATGCTGTTTTTGACGAGTGCATTGGCTTGGGATGTGGGGGTTGAGCAAACCGATCATCGAATGCCTGCTTCCACGTAGCCCCGCTGGATACGGGAATGACAGAATCACTTGTGGTTCTGTTATTCCCTAACTGAATGGCATCCCAACGATGGCTCAATCCTAAGGTGTGTGTATCTGTGCCCTCCCGTCGTAGCATAGCCTTGTCACGGTAATGTGCTCTGCCGTCATTGACCTTCTCTCCCTAGCTACACGTGGGACTTTTATCGACAGAGTAAACTTAAAAATTCGTTCTAACGCTGAGTCTATAGAGGAGATGGATGTCAAACTTACGACTTCAATGACCTCCCTGTAAATTTAGATCAGGAGAGAGTCCACAGAGGAGATGGATGTCGAGTTTACGACTCCAACTGATCTTTCTGTGAATTTAGTTCAAGAGCGAGTCTACAGAAGAGATGGATGTCGAGTTTACGACTTCAACTGATCTCCCTGTAAATTTAGTTCAGGAGTGAGAGCTTCTCAACTCCCTAACTCCTGATCCAATAACTGAACCTGAAAATAAGGTTTCGTGGTGCAGCCAGAAAATGACTGAGTCGTCTCCACAAGAGCGGGGTACCTTATAAAAAGGCCTTGCACCAAAATCTTCAGCGGCGTACGCAGAATATGTCTCAGATGGAGAAACAAACCCCCCATGAGCAGGTTAGCAAACGTTTGACCTCGAGTAATGATTCACCAAAACCAGAGGCGAAAAAGCGCTACACGGTTCAATCTAAGACATCGTCAGGTGTAGCTGATGTGCAAAAACCCTCATATAGGAAGGTTGTCGAGGGTATCAAGGTGGGAATCTTGCGCCTTGACTATCCGACTACCTCATTAACGATGAATCAGCAGAGACTATTCTTTGTGCCTGCCCCGCTGAGGACCGAATCAGGTTCTTTGAGTTCGGCAGATCCGTACTCTCACCATCTGACCTGAAAGACCACTCACCATACAAACTAATCGGCTTCGTAAAGGAGCTGGGTTTATTTGGCCGTGTGTGAATAGGTGTGAGCCACAATAAACCCTTGCGAGTTGCGGTGGAGGATCGAATAGATCCACTCACTTTGGACCTAACTTAACCTTACCCAAAAATCGTAATTTATGAATGAATTGTATGTTTTTTCTTATAATATTATCGAGATTGGTACTGAATAGCCCTAAAGCTTATGGCGAAACAGCGATATATACCAGTGAGGATGACATTGTTCCATGTGGGTGAAATTTCTACCTTCCACTTCGAATATTGTATAGGAATCCTGTGAATAATATCTGATTTAATTACATAACGAATGATTGGAGTATAAACTGAGTAGAGAAAAGTATCTTCTGTATAAATCAGTGTTCATATAAAAGTATTTGTTTTGAAGGAGATTTCTTTCATGTAATTCAATGTTTATATGAAAGTAGCGGTCTCAGGAAGGTTTTTTTTCCAATTTCTGTCTAAAAGTTACTTCTTTGTATGATCTACACATCTATGTATAAAGTTCCATCTCTTTATCACTTCCTTCCTTTATTTGGAAGCTTCTCAAATTTTTCTGTGTCAAAATGGCGTAGTAGAAAGCCTAAAACTATTTTCCCAAAAATTTTCCCCTATCTACTTCTTCTTATAGTTTTTTCATGCAACCTTTTTTTAATTTTTTTATGGCATTTCTCAATATTCGTTCTCTGACTCCCAATAGGAGACACTGTGAATCAGTAATTTTTAAACTTAACTCAGTAAGCTATCTATTCAGAAACATGAAATCAGTTTTAAGGGAGAAACAACTGATAAAGTTATATTATGCACAGGTCGAATTCCGACTAAGATACGGAATATGTTTTTGGGGGTCATCGACTTGTTTTAATGATGTGTTCATATCGCAGAAAAAATTGATTCGTTATATTGCTGGTGTCTATCGTACATCTAGTTGTAGAATTTTTTGAAACCTATCAAATCTCAACCTTGCCGTGTTTGTACATAATTGAAGTGTGTGTTTTTGTATTTTGTAATTCCAACTCTTTTAAAACCAATAAACAAATTCACAATGTTAATACAAGACAGCCGAATGATTTACATGTGCCATTTTCAAGAACTAATCTTCTATATAGATCACCCACTGTAACTGGGCAAAGGTTGTACAATATACTTCCTCCCGAAATTTAATCATGTACAACACTGAAAGCATTCAAACACTGTCTCAGAAAGTACCTGTTGAATGGTGGATTTTATTCCTTGGAAGAGTGTCAGTCTCAGTTTTTAGTTTTATTTCGTGACAAATACTACACATGTATCAGCATGTCTTTAAGAAAATGAAGTATTATTATTATTATCACTATTATTTTTTTCACCGTAGTGTGCGCTGGTCAGGCCCTATCAACCTCAGCATTATCAACCAATGACCACTCCCCACAACGTGGGGTAAGTGATCATTGGGTCCGAGAATCATGTGCCCTGAGCAAACGCAGTGAGTCAAGAATGACAGCCTTCTGCATCTGTGCGGCTAAGATTTGTGCCTTAGTGCCGCCAGGCGGTATGATTTTAAGATTCGAGAGTAGAGAGGACATCATTCTACCAAGGACTCCAATAATCAGAACACAACCTTCTGAAGTTTCACGTGGCACTGAAGACACCTTTATCTAAGTAGTGCAGTATCATTGTTCTACCAGTAATTTGTTTTTCTCAAAGTAACACTCTTTTTTTGGAATCACTTCATCACAGAACCGGTTCAATTTTTTATTTTACCACAACTTAGCAGCCCGGATATGTTTCTCTCTATTGTGACTCCGGCCGTGAAAGGCCATGTTTCGAATCATGACCCTTGTTGAATAGTTTAGAGATTTGATAATTCGAATATCCCAAAAAATATACATATTTCTCACACTCACCTTCCTCCATAATACATCATCACTAGTAGATTTCGGAGACCAATAGAAACATCTATTGGTCTCCTAAATCACTCACTCACAAATGTAGGTGAACATCTCCATTCAAACGTAAGGGGAGAAAATAGGGCCCAATTAAATAATCCCCAATTATGCCTACCCATACATTAAAAGAGAATCTGTCTTGGAAATGAGCTTGCGTTATCGTATGTGAGTTATCTTCCGCCCAGATATGGTTGTTATGGAAGTTCATGATATCATTTCTTGAAAAATTAGCATTATCTGTGAAGATGATTTCCGATAAAATTTGCGAATGTTGTTCAACTTTTCTTTGAAGCCATATGACAGCGTACGCAGCGCCTTCTAGATGTTACATGAAAATTAATACAAAATTATGATTTCCCACGTCAAAAAAACCCCAGGTACCGAATTTCGTGCAAATAACAATTTTTTTGCAAGAGTTATTTTCAAAAAGCGAACAAAAAAATTCGATTTCAACATCCCGTATCTCCGAAACGATGCATTTTCGGACACAAGTTTATCTAGACTTTTTTTCTCAAAAGTGTCTCAGGAATACGTCTCTTGAATGTTTTAACGTACTTATGTTACACCCTGTATATGTATGGACTCATGTATATACACACATATATTACTTACATACACATATCAGACATACACGTATACATATACATATAGACAATAATGGTATGCAGATACACAGTAAATAGTACTACAATAACAATTTAAAATTGAGGAATGGGGTGGTGATAGTAATAGGGTAGTAAATGTGGTAGATGTAGTTATTATTTTTCCTATCTATAAATTTGTGTATTTTCATTCTTGGCGTAGAATGGAGGCATTTTTGTAGAATTTTTTTATCAAACCGAATGAATAGATTTGAGTTAGATCCGTTGGTATTTTAAGGTATATTATGGGTCCTAGGTAAAAGAAGTGTCTCTGTGATAATGTGTTTTCAACATTTGGTATAACAGATATTACCGCTTTATTTCTCATTTTGTGTACATGATCTATTCACTGAAAATTATTTTTTTAATGATAATTCACCATTATACTTCAGAAGAATAATTGCCGTAGAACTAGCGCTTTGATCTCTATATATAAAAAATGGAGAATAGGCGACATTTAGATTCTTGAGGAAGTTGTTCGATAGTCCGCTCCATGCCAAAATACCACAACGTATATGTGGTCTGAAAAGAAAGTTGTATTGGATTTGTCAATTTCTTTTGATCAAAGACCCATTTCAAGAACTTGATCAAGAGATTCGAAGATTTTATTTTAAAATTTTCGTTTACCGGCAGATTTTTGAAATACTGTGCAAAAGGTACATAGAAAGTCTTATCTGAATTTATTATGGGAATTTCACTGGAAAACCATTCGATAATATTTTGAAAGTCGTTGTCGACGATGGTTTTCAGTTCAGCCCATGTGTTCGAATGATAATCAATTACTGTACCGTCAGCAAAACTTACTATGTCATCAGATACCATAAGATTCAACAAATCATTTAGGGTATACATTGGAAAGCAGTGGACCAAGGACTATATCATTTCAGGACACAAAAAGGCCGATGCAGCGTATAAATCAGAGAGAGATGGCGATACTTAAAGTTAAGGGAAGCATACTGGTGAGCACGCGTAATAAACAATCAAAAAACAGGTATAAACAATATAGTGTTTCTATATATTTCTCATAGGTCAACAGATTTCAGATTTTTTGAACTTTTGAAAATTCATATCTTCAAAAATATGAACTTTACCGTGAATTCATGAAACCTTCTCTATTTGTACTTAGATAGAGATTTAAAAAAAATGTTGGGTTGAAAAATAACAATTTCTCGCAATTGTTTAAACAATTTCGGTACTCGTGGAGTAATTTCTCCTGAACTATCTTTTTCTCGAAATGAAATATGCTATTTTTTCTTCACAATGGAAATTATCACCGCCGGCACAGAAGATACAACCGTAATCATCGTAATAATGATTTGAATCATTTCACAGCACATGTGAATAAAATGTAGCGTAAAATACTTCAGTGGATACATACCTTGTTACTGACGATAATTATCACTAAATGCATCAAACTTAGGATGCATTGGAGTATTAGAAATAATGAGAAGTATCCATGATTTATTTTTTCTGTATACGTCTTGTACAATGTATCTAGTTTGAAAGATTCAAATTGACTCTGAAACAAAAAAAAACACGTTCAGTATTTAACGAAAAATTCTATATCACTGTTAAGAATTGCATATTGAAGGATGAGATCTTGGTTATTATCAGTTCGCACAAGTTTCAACTTCTGATAGTTGTTTCTCCAAGGATAGAACACAACCACTACAGAAAAACCTTCAATGCGCTCCAAGTGCCATGCCTGTACGAAAGTAATGATTCATGTTGGATTTGAATCGCTGGAGATTGGATTCATTTGGAAAAAAAAAATTCAGGTAGCTCATTCCACATGGAAGCAGTTCTCCGAATGGAATAGTTTTCAAACAATGAAATTCAAGGCTCTTTTGTGGATGGAATCCAGCAGATTCAGGGTATGCTCAGAGGCGGAGCTCCATACATGTAAATAATACTCCAGAGAAGGGCTTATCTGAGCTTAATGAAGTATCAAATGTTTCTGACGTGTGTACAGTTCTTTGGTTCGAAGCTTTTGAAATTTCATGTCGCTTGAATTGCAGTCCTTGCGATTCCAGCGACATGATTGTGCCGAGACATATTAGTGTTCATTTCACCCTCAACAAACTTATCGAAACAGAAAGCGAAATTGTCTTTCATAACATTATTATATCTGATTCGGAGACATTGATCTTTTTGGAGAAAACCGATGCCTAGGTTTTTGTGGCATTGATCTGAACCTGGCTATTTTCACTCCAATTCGAAATCACTTTTGGATCCTCATTTAGATATGCAACCTACTTTATGCCATCACACTTTGAGTCAAGGCGTGCTGCTGACCACCAAACACCACTGCCTTGATGGATTGATAGGATACGAATGCTAGTGGCTGCTAAAAAGTTACTATTGTGGCGAGCGAGAAGTATCGTGGAAAACCTTAGGTTCCGCGAGAAACCTTCTCGCCTATTCCAAGAGCCTTCACGTGTTGTGGACAATTCGCCGACCGCTGATTAGGTGAAATCCTTCTGGGAAAATATCTATAAACACCAGCAACCACTCAACTCAGACACCACAGCCCTAGCGCAGTTCGAAGCTTTCAACAGAGAGCTTCGACAGCCTGAGCTAATGAACTGTGGAACCCGATAACCCCGGATGATGTCCGAAGAGCTTTTTGAGTAGTGGAGTGGACTCGAAAGGAGCTGAATCACCTCGACGTAAAGACCCGAAAAACGATGCCACTCTGTTGGAGTTTGCAGCCCAAATCGTCACGGTTTCACGGTTGTACTTCCCCCGACAACAGGGAGGTCGTGAACTTTTGAATTTGGAGTGTCTTCATGACAGAATAGTACTGGATGTTGCCTGTAAAGTCGTCAGGAGCCCGGATCCCGTTGTCTGCATGGTCCGGAAACATGAGAGATCAGGAATTGGAGCATTGGAAATAGTCTGGGAAAAACCTATCAAACAAGGTTGCACAGGGCTTCCTTCTGTTTCGAATAAAGTTGATAGCGCCACCTCCTTGGCCATGCCACACTATTGCTCCTCTCTTCGACATACTAACAACCGAGTAGTGACGAATCCTACGAAACATCAATAACCTCCGATTCCGATACCCCTCCGATGATTCATATAACCTAATAAATATTACCTCAATCAACGTGAAATTTTAGGAACTACAAGGACGATACGCTGTTGAAGTCATGCACCCTCACCCCCTCCTGGACGCTATGTGGAGGCTCCAGAAGGATACCAAGGAAAAAGTTCCCTTCTACTGCTCCTGGGAGCAGTAGAAGACCCGACGGAGCAATCCAGGACATCCTAGAGGAGTACCCACTGGCGATCAGATAGAGGACAGCGCACGGCCTGGAACACTCTGAAGTCTCAGACATACCTTCCCCGGCCTAACGAAAACTTGATCCTTCAATGACGACCATCGCTATGGATCCGGACACTCCAATCAATAATGCAACTACTAACTCCGATAATTTTGATTCGAATTATTTGTGAAGTAACCCAACCTTGAAGAGGCATAAGCCTATAATAAGCCCCTCCTCATATCATTTCATCTACAGTGTGACCTATTTTTAATGGAAACACCCCCCTAAAATTTAAAGTTGTGAATCGATTTTAATGAATTTTTTTTTAAATGTCAAGTACTAAAAAGTCTACCTTGAAACAAAATTTGAAATATTCATTATCGAAGAACTGTAAGGTGAATATTGTTGACGATAGTACACTTAAATCTTTCACAAGTGTCAAACTGTAATATTATTTCCATGGCAACTAAGATTTGAATTGAAATATTAGGTCTTAGTTTTAGTTAATTTGCGTGAAAACTTCGTTAATAATGAATATTTTTTCATGAAATTTTGGTTACACCTGTTTAGAGGCACTCTGAATTCAGTGGCGTAGTGATTTTTTCAATAAAAAAATCGCTAATAAAAAATCCCGATTTTCGACTAAGAAAAAATATCGTAGTGTGCCCTGAAACTTTAATAAACATTTCAAATTCCGTCCTCAGGTAGACCTTTCAGTACTTGACATTTCAAAAGAAAAATTATTGAAATCGGTGTACAACTAAAATTTTAGGGGAGTGTTTCCATTAAAAATGGGTCACATTGTAAATAACATACTGTCAAAACCACAAATGAATAAACATTTCTCTCTCTCTCCCTCTCTCTCTTCGAAAAGTACTGAAGATTATGCTTTTCAAACAATTTCCATCCTACTTTGATATATCGTCAGAGATTACTGCTGTTTATTTTTTGCAACAAGCTGAACGAATTGACTTACTTTCAAATAGGACAGTCTCCACTTCCTTTCATCGTGATACGTGGATGAGACTGAAGTAACCTCTTCGTCAAAGCAGCTCTCACTCAATCCGGAAAGGTCTCTC